TATTTTACTTATATCTCGTGTGCTTTGTTGATATCTATTTTTGCGAGGTATGAGGCATTACTGATATCTGTTGAATAAATAAGAACCAAATGCTGTCAAAAATTCAAAATGCCACAAAACAGTAAATGTTTTCTTTGTTATATTTCACCGATGTTAATTTTAACAAGCAAATTTATGCATTAATTGACTACATATAGCAGGTTCTAATTTACGCCGTAGTGAATCAATATGACAAGTTTTATTCCAAGCTTCAATTGCTTTATCAACATCGACCTATTCAAAAAATGAAATTATAAAAAAGTTATAAAATTGATATTACTCGAGTTGCTTCTTCCACTTGACGAATTTTTATAGCATAAAGCACAAAAACGGTTCGGGCATTGTTAGGTGACAGTTTTCCACTTCTTCACGCGCAATCTTTTGCATTCTCACCGTCGTACTCGGACTTCAATCAGAACGTTTTTTCTTTATTGCAAATGATATTGATTACACAATGTGCTTTAAAGAATCAAAAGCAAACTAGGGTTCATCCTGTCTCTGGCTCGTCGTCCTCCTCTTGTCATCATCACCCCTTCTTTTCTAATTTTGTGATTAACTCGCTAATGAGGCCGAAAGGTGCAAGGCAACAGAAGATTGCGTACCACGTTACCGTCATTGCCGCACCATTGAATCCAGCCTTCATTTTATCCAGTAAAGATCCCACCGATCTTTTTGGTCGTCGTTTACACATTGTACAGCTATTTTCCCGTTCTGCCACAAATGTTTTCAGCGCTTTTTCTTGTGCCAATGTTAATGAGCCAAAAAATGGTCTTGTTAGTTTCATCCATTCTTCTGTACATGAATATTGTACTTTGCCACTACCACCAACATCACCGCCACTCACCGAAGAGGAAGGTCGTCGTTGTCCTTGAACGTTTTTCGGTAATAAATTTTTTTGATATAGTGTTAAATTAAGATGTTGATTGAGAAGATTAAACGTATTTTTACTCTGCACAAGTTCGTTCAAATCGAAAATTGTAGCAGCACACTTCTGGTGATTTGCACGAAATTTGGCGATCGATGTGACGACGAATACATTGAGTAGTAATAAGAAAATGGCATAGAGGAATAATCGAGTCATTTTTAACTTATGCTCTTGAATGTCTTCTGCTTCTTCGTCCTGCTCCTTTTATATGAGACATTTGAGAAGCCTTAGAGGTGAGAAATAACGAACCAACAAACTAATCAATTTTTGTGTCTATTTATCTCAACCTTTTCTCATCAATAGTAGCACAATTTTATTAGGTTAATTGCCAATTTTTTCTATAACAGCTTTCGCCTGAAGCGGATTAAATTAATTTTCGACTCACAATGTAGAACTTGCAGACACCTCCACATTACGTATAAGTCTAGTTGCTTGTTGAGAAAATGATCTATCTGAGTGCATCATAACTTTCTTGTTTAAGTGAAAAGGACAAAAGTGATTTAGAGAGAAACCTGAGCCCTACGTTTTGTTCTCCATTGTTTACCAAGCCTGTGACAAAGAAGAATTACGTCTAAAAAAACTGTCTCTTTACTACGTCTCGCAGGTATGTTATGTATATAATCCAACTTTCGCTTCTAACATAGTGTAACCGGTTCACTTAGGAAGTCGTTTTCCAGTTCCAAAACTAAGTTTGATGAATAATAACCATTATGAAGTCAACCATTATGAAGACAAACCTATTGAATGAATATTTCTCTAGCGTTTGCACATCAACGGATCAAAATCATATTTTTCCTGTTTTAGAAAAACCGCGCATAAAAATGTCAGTTTTTTATATCTATGAAGTAGAAGTGTATGAGCTCCTGTCAAAAGTAGACATTTCAAAAGCGAGTTCGCCAGGTTTAACTAATCGTATGATTAGAGAAGCTGCTATCTCCATCGCTCCTATATTAACATCTCTATTTAATGAATCATTAGACACTGGGCAGTTTCCTACTTCTTGGAAGCTGGGGCATATTTGTCCTCTATATAAGTCCGGTGACTCTTAACTAGTCTCTAACTATCGTCCAATAACTCTTTTGAATTCTGTATCTAAAATACTCGAGCGTATCATCTTTAAACATCTCTATGGCTTTCTGAGTAAATATAGTTTTTTCCATAAAAACCAGGCGGGTTTTTTGAGAGGTTAGGTTCTTCAACAGTTAGTCAAGTCGTTAAAATTATTCATCATATTGCTACGTCTTTTAATTCCGGATCTCCAGTTCTAGCAATGTTTTTGGATTTTTCAAAAGCGTTCGATAAAGTTAATCATGATGGTCTATTAATAAAGCTTCGCAGTGCAGGCCTGAATAACTCTCTACTTAAATGGTTTTAGAGTTATTTAGTAGATCACAAAATTGTGACAGTAGTGAATGGTAGTACATCATCGGAGTTGGATATTTCGTGTTTTGTACCACAAGGCAGCGTGCTCGGCCTCTCTTATTTCTAATATACATAAATGACCTTCCAGATTCACTATCTAGCTTATGCTTCCTGTTTGCGGATGATGTTTAAATTTATGTAGATGCTAAGGATGTGAACGCAGCAGTGGCAGAAATGAATCGAGATTTAGTTTTGATAAATAAGTGGTCAACTGATTGGCTTCTACCGTTAAACATCATCAAGTGTCAAGGAATGTTGTTCTCACGAACTACACGTACTGATATACCTTCTTTAACAATAAATAATATCCCTTTAGACTACGTAGACAAGCATATACTTTTGGGACTGACTTTGACATCTAATCTTGACTGGACATCACATATAGACACTATGTTAACTTCAGTCGGAAGAACAGTTGGGTCTATTAAATTTTTAAGTCGAAAATTATCGCGGCAAGCGCTTAATCTAGTCTATAATGCATTTATTTTAAGTTGTATTAATCATGCTAGTGTACTCTATTGTGGAACAACAGTTACAAATCTTCGCAAATTAAATTCACTTCAGTATAGCGCAGGTTTAGCCGTTTTTGGAGCTATGAGAGGGACTTCGCATGAAAAAGTATGCGCTGAACTAGGATGGGCATTTGAAACGGTATGTCAGCGGAGGGGATACCTTGAGTTAATTGCATAGCCGAAGAGGGGTGAATGACAAGACTTTCCGGTTTTGTGGGAGGAAAATGAGTAGAACGTGAAGAGTCGGCGCGAATTGAAGAATGATCGCGTAGGTGCGAATTGGAAGGCATCGCACGTCGCACGTCACGAGGAGAATGAGGTCGTGCTCAATTTGCATTCGCTGCGAACTCATTTCCCACACTCTTTCTTAATGGAGCGATTTCTAAGGTTTTGAACAGAATCTACATAGATAGACATATACACATAAGATATATATATATATATATATATATTCGGTACCCAGGATATCTTAGATATCTAGAGTATCTCAGGTATTTATGATATCAAGCTAGCATATCCTATTAAATAGAGTATGTAGAATATCTAGGGTATCTTAGGTATTTGGGTTATTTTAAGTTACAAGATGGCTGAAATAAGCATCTTTTCCTTTTATCCGTTTTCCAATAAAGAGAAATATGTATTTCTAAATTGAAATATGAGATATGAATTTAGTTCACCTGTCTAGAATATACACAAATTTTCATAGTAGTCACATGTTTAGTTCGCAGCGAAATATAGTCTATGTATATGTAGACACATGTACAGGGTTATTCGTATGCGGTGGGACGTGGGAGAGGTGAGGTTGAGAGTGAGCTCGAAAAGCAGTTGCACTATGGGTTGAAGAATTCACATCTGCTGCACATTCATTCTTAACGGATAAAAGGAAAAGATGCTTATTTCAGCCATCTTGTAACTTAAAATAACCCAAATACCTAAGATACCCTAGATATTCTACATACTCTATTTAATAGGATATGCTAGCTTGATATCATAAATACCTGAGATACTCTAGATATCTAAGATATCCTGGGTACCGAATATATATATATATATATATATATCTTATGTGTATATGTCTATCTATGTAGATTCTGTTCAAAACCTTAGAAATCGCTCCATTAAGAAAGAGTGTGGGAAATGAGTTCGCAGCGAATGCAAATTGAGCACGACCTCATTCTCCTCGTGACGTGCGACGTGCGATGCCTTCCAATTCGCACCTACGCGATCATTCTTCAATTCGCGCCGACTCTTCACGTTCTACTCATTTTCCTCCCACAAAACCGGAAAGTCTTGTCATTCACCCCTCTTCGGCTATGCAATTAACTCAAGGTATCCCCTCCGCTGACATACCGTTTCAAATGCCCATCCTAGTTCAGCGCATACTTTTTCATGCGAAGTCCCTCTCATAGCTCCAAAAACGGCTAAACCTGCGCTATACTGAAGTGAATTTAATTTGCGAAGATTTGTAACTGTTGTTCCACAATAGAGTACACTAGCATGATTAATACAACTTAAAATAAATGCATTATAGACTAGATTAAGCGCTTGCCGCGATAATTTTCGACTTAAAAATTTAATAGACCCAACTGTTCTTCCGACTGAAGTTAACATAGTGTCTATATGTGATGTCCAGTCAAGATTAGATGTCAAAGTCAGTCCCAAAAGTATATGCTTGTCTACGTAGTCTAAAGGGATATTATTTATTGTTAAAGAAGGTATATCAGTACGTGTAGTTCGTGAGAACAACATTCCTTGACACTTGATGATGTTTAACGGTAGAAGCCAATCAGTTGACCACTTATTTATCAAAACTAAATCTCGATTCATTTCTGCCACTGCTGCGTTCACATCCTTAGCATCTACATAAATTTAAACATCATCCGCAAACAGGAAGCATAAGCTAGATAGTGAATCTGGAAGGTCATTTATGTATATTAGAAATAAGAGAGGCCGAGCACGCTGCCTTGTGGTACAAAACACGAAATATCCAACTCCGATGATGTACTACCATTCACTACTGTCACAATTTTGTGATCTACTAAATAACTCTAAAACCATTTAAGTAGAGAGTTATTCAGGCCTGCACTGCGAAGCTTTATTAATAGACCATCATGATTAACTTTATCGAACGCTTTTGAAAAATCCAAAAACATTGCTAGAACTGGAGATCCGGAATTAAAAGACGTAGCAATATGATGAATAATTTTAACGACTTGACTAACTGTTGAAGAACCTAACCTCTCAAAAAACCCGCCTGGTTTTTATGGAAAAAACTATATTTACTCAGAAAGCCATAGAGATGTTTAAAGATGATACGCTCGAGTATTTTAGATACAGAATTCAAAAGAGTTATTGGACGATAGTTAGAGACTAGTTAAGAGTCACCGGACTTATATAGAGGACAAATATGCCCCAGCTTCCAAGAAGTAGGAAACTGCCCAGTGTCTAATGATTCATTAAATAGAGATGTTAATATAGGAGCGATGGAGATAGCAGCTTCTCTAATCATACGATTAGTTAAACCTGGCGAACTCGCTTTTGAAATGTCTACTTTTGACAGGAGCTCATACACTTCTACTTCATAGATATAAAAAACTGACATTTTTATGCGCGGTTTTTCTAAAACAGGAAAAATATGATTTTGATCCGTTGATGTGCAAACGCTAGAGAAATATTCATTCAATAGGTTTGTCTTCATAATGGTTGACTTCATAATGGTTATTATTCATCAAACTTAGTTTTGGAACTGGAAAACGACTTCCTAAGTGAACCGGTTACACTATGTTAGAAGCGAAAGTTGGATTATATACATAACATACCTGCGAGACGTAGTAAAGAGACAGTTTTTTTAGACGTAATTCTTCTTTGTCACAGGCTTGGTAAACAATGGAGAACAAAACGTAGGGCTCAGGTTTCTCTCTAAATCACTTTTGTCCTTTTCACTTAAACAAGAAAGTTATGATGCACTCAGATAGATCATTTTCTCAACAAGCAACTAGACTTATACGTAATGTGGAGGTGTCTGCAAGTTCTACATTGTGAGTCGAAAATTAATTTAATCCGCTTCAGGCGAAAGCTGTTATAGAAAAAATTGGCAATTAACCTAATAAAATTGTGCTACTATTGATGAGAAAAGGTTGAGATAAATAGACACAAAAATTGATTAGTTTGTTGGTTCGTTATTTCTCACCTCTAAGGCTTCTCAAATGTCTCATATAAAAGGAGCAGGACGAAGAAGCAGAAGACATTCAAGAGCATAAGTTAAAAATGACTCGATTATTCCTCTATGCCATTTTCTTATTACTACTCAATGTATTCGTCGTCACATCGATCGCCAAATTTCGTGCAAATCACCAGAAGTGTGCTGCTACAATTTTCGATTTGAACGAACTTGTGCAGAGTAAAAATACGTTTAATCTTCTCAATCAACATCTTAATTTAACACTATATCAAAAAAATTTATTACCGAAAAACGTTCAAGGACAACGACGACCTTCCTCTTCGGTGAGTGGCGGTGATGTTGGTGGTAGTGGCAAAGTACAATATTCATGTACAGAAGAATGGATGAAACTAACAAGACCATTTTTTGGCTCATTAACATTGGCACAAGAAAAAGCGCTGAAAACATTTGTGGCAGAACGGGAAAATAGCTGTACAATGTGTAAACGACGACCAAAAAGATCGGTGGGATCTTTACTGGATAAAATGAAGGCTGGATTCAATGGTGCGGCAATGACGGTAACGTGGTACGCAATCTTCTGTTGCCTTGCACCTTTCGGCCTCATTAGCGAGTTAATCACAAAATTAGAAAAGAAGGGGTGATGATGACAAGAGGAGGACGACGAGCCAGAGACAGGATGAACCCTAGTTTGCTTTTGATTCTTTAAAGCACATTGTGTAATCAATATCATTTGCAATAAAGAAAAAACGTTCTGATTGAAGTCCGAGTACGACGGTGAGAATGCAAAAGATTGCGCGTGAAGAAGTGGAAAACTGTCACCTAACAATGCCCGAACCGTTTTTGTGCTTTATGCTATAAAAATTCGTCAAGTGGAAGAAGCAACTCGAGTAATATCAATTTTATAACTTTTTTATAATTTCATTTTTTGAATAGGTCGATGTTGATAAAGCAATTGAAGCTTGGAATAAAACTTGTCATATTGATTCACTACGGCGTAAATTAGAACCTGCTATATGTAGTCAATTAATGCATAAATTTGCTTGTTAAAATTAACATCGGTGAAATATAACAAAGAAAACATTTACTGTTTTGTGGCATTTTGAATTTTTGACAGCATTTGGTTCTTATTTATTCAACAGATATCAGTAATGCCTCATACCTCGCAAAAATAGATATCAACAAAGCACACGAGATATAAGTAAAATA